GGCAGCTAGGATGTCCCAGCTCGTGACACCGTCTCAACCTTACTCACTTAGCTAACTGAATTAAAACCTAGCCACACTTCTACAATAGTCAGAAGACAAAAACTGTAATGAGAAGAGAGGGTGGCGAGACACATGCTAAATGACGGCCATGCTGTAAGTCAGAGTACATTCCAAAGCAACAAGCAAATTTACAAGTCATTCAAGAACCCTGGACCAGAACAAGGTTTTGTCTCACTGGCATTAAATGGGCTTTAGCAAAATCTATTACAGTAAGTGAGAATGCCAGATGGAAGGCATAGACTTTAACAACTTACTCCAAAGCCTATTAGTAACTATTGGGCTACTGAACCTTGTGACAAAGGGGTTCTTCTTATAGCTTCTTCCAGGTACAGCTTCTTAAAAAGCTTGACTGCTAATGCAATCTAAAAATTAAATGGTCTAAGATACAATATTGGAAGTGTATCAGGTCCAAATAAGCACCTTCCAGTTCAAGAGGGGACCAGCTGCCCCGCTCTGAGGAATGTGTTGTCCAATGGCATGGCTTCCAGCTGAGGACGTCAGGATCATTTCAAACTCAGACCGGACTGGCTCCGAGTCTCCGGGTGCTAAGCGAGGTGTTAGAGTTAGGGGCCTGCTCTGCACAAGGCCAACAAGGGAAGAGGCACAAAGCCTGATTCCATCTAGAGGATGCACCTGGCCCAACAGGCAGTCCTTCCTCCGGGCTTCTCATGGTGCAGAACCAGGTCTCATCAGCACTGAGACAGCATGCCCTGGCCGATTCTGCTTTGTCCTTTTTTCTGCCTAATAATGCATACATACTTAATATTATTATAGTGTTTCCATGGGAACCCTAGAATTTGAGACAGTCTAGTTTGCCTCCTTAATTTATTGCACTGTCTATGATTTTCAGTACAATTTTTAAAATTGTTTTTCTGAGACAAGGTGTTAGAGCTCCATATATAGTCCAGGCAGGCTTCAAAATTTCTGATCCTCCTACTTTGGCCTCTCTAATGCTAGAATTACAGGCATGTGCCACTTCCCTCAGCTCTCTGAGCCATTCTGATTACTGATTTCTATACTCTGAATGTAGTAAATGAGAAGGGATATTCTTAACTTAAAAATACCTTCTTAAAGGCAGAGTACACTTTCTGTTCTCAGTGAGTTACCAAACAACACTGCCTTAAAAATTCAGCTTCCCCAGCTCCTGAGAAGCATCTTTTCCTGCAGCCTGGGGCTTCATGGGTCATCGGATTCTCTTCCAGTCATGACCACCTTCCTATATAACCTTGTCTGCTTCCTGGAGGAGCAAGGAATGGTCAAATGAACGGCAGAACAAGCCAGTCTAAGAATGCGCTGTGAACTCGGTTTAGTGTTATGTGTCAGCGCTACAGCCGCGTGCAATTTCAGCACAGTCCATGTTCTGGAAGATTCTTGCTGAGGCTTAGCCTTCTGAAGAAGATCTCCCAATCAATATGACCCTCGTTCAAAAAACACCCAAGAAGAGAAGAAAAGGCAGCTGTCTGTTAGGTGATATATAGGATTTATCTGGTATCTTCAAAAACCAATCGAGAAAATTTTCCACTCACTGGTTTTAGGTGAGACACTGAGAAAACAAGAAAATCCTTCTGCAAAATTTCCAATCAGATGATATTATCTAAAGACCTGAAGCGTGAAACCTGGATTACAATAGCTGACCATGGAACGCCTACGAAAACTACAGATAAATAAATAAAAGGTGTAACACAGAGAATTTATTTAAAAACTGGGTATTTTCCATAAATTAAGAATGCACTAACACAACAAAGATAATCCCAACTGAACAGTTAGAAAGAAAACAACCTATCAATAGGCACAAACATTTATTATATATTTTAAAACACTTTGGGGGCTGGGTGTATGGGTCACCTGGTACAATGCTTGTCTGGAATGCATGAAACCCTGGTTCAATCTCCAATGGGTGGAGGAGGGCACCAAACTTTAATGGTAAAAGCATTGAGATCTAATTATTTTCCTAATATTATAATTAATATATTTTTTCATATATTTGTTAAATCTTTACTTTTGAGAATCTTTTGCTACAGAATAAATTTTTAAAGAACATAGAACTTCAATATTCTACAGGTAATCACCTAGCTGACATGTTCACGAGTTTCACCGTGAAATCATGTACTGTCAGCTCCAGCTTTTCCTACTTACAGTCCACTCCTCTCTGCACCTAGCTGACGTATTCATGAGTGTCACCATGAAAACATGTACTATCTGTCAGTGCTGGCTCCACAGCCACCACCCCACAACTCAGCCCTGCTTTCAGATTCTTCTAGCTGTGGAATAATTACCCAGAGGGCATATCCTAAAGGACAGGCAGGATGAACGTAGAACCCTAACAGCCTGCATGAAGCTTAAAGAGTAGATCCTGAGAGTACACATTATACTTATTACCTAATCTTGCAAACAACATGATTTTAGAATTCCTTAAGGCCTACATAAGAGTGGCTATAAGTTATTATCTGGATGTCTTTAACCCAGTAACTTCCTGGGATAAAATATGACACATGAAACCTTCGGTTACCCAAAAATTCCACCTTTGCAGAAATGCTGTTTCCCACAGAAATGGTCATTTAAGCTATAAACAAATATTATACTTACAAAAATGGAGGGGAAACAAACATTAACCAAAGGCACAAGCAGGCTGTGCTATACTTCCATGCCATGACTTGGAAAACGATGCAATCTAGCTAGTAACATGCATTAGAGGCAAATCTTTTCGAGCCATGGTCGAGACACAATGTATAAGTATTTTGTTGGCCTTGGCCCTTAGTTCCTAGAAGGGAGCCTCTGAACCCTTGTAATTTCCTTAGTGATAGAAGTGGCTTCAATATTCATGTTACTGGGCGACTCGGTGTCAGCTCTTAAATAATGTGGCCAGGGGGTGGGCTACACTGAAGAGATGAGCCATGAGAAGTCTTGGGCTTCCTGATACCGCAGGATAGCAGACCGGCTTTCCAGAAGTGTTGTGATTATGACTCACTGCACAGACATGCCTACACAGTGACACCCCACTCAAAACTGCAAGTCCAACGTTCCAGTGGGCTCCCCCTGGCAGCACATACAAGGGAAGGCAGCAAGCCCTGAGGACCTGGAGGTTCTGCGTTTGGGACTTTCAGCCTCCCTTCAGCCCAGGCTACCCATACCCAGCAGACCTTGAGGTCTAGTTTGGAATAAAGCTGTAACCATTCTATGATTCTTTTTTTTTCTTTCATTCTATGATTCTTTATGAGGTCCTTTCAATGAATTTTCAAACCCAAGGAAGCAGCTGGGACTCGTAGCTGGCTGATCAGAAGTGCAGATGATATGGAAACACGGAGGACGGCTGGCATTTGAGGTGAGGGGAATGCTGGGAAGAACTCTATCTCTGAAACATGGCCTCACTTCGCTCGAGTCAGAATTAAACTACACATGATAAAAAGTTTGAAAAGACAGCCAACAGACAGTGGCAGGAGAGTGACAGCCATCGTAGCTGCAGTCATTCAGGAGCTCAAAAGAGAAGAAGCAGTCAAGTTACCAGAGGGACTTCAGGGGCAGCAGAGACGGGTCAGGTCAGGGTAGGCTGCAGCCCAGCTGCATAAGCTCATTCAACAACTACCTGTCAACGCAGACTACATGTTAAGTCACTGAACTAAGTCCTAAGAGGAGGAGGAGGAAGAGGAGGAGGAGAAGAAGAAGAAGACGACGATGATGACGGAAGAGGAGGAGGAGGGAAGAAGGAAAAAGAAAGAAGAGGATGAGGAGGAGGAAGAAGAAGAGAAGGAGGAGGAGCAGAGTCCTGACTCTCACGGCACTTCCAGATCTGGTCAGGAAATGACACCATCAGTGATGTGACTGCAGCTAAATGGGCTGAGAGACAAGCTAAGCACTCGGCCCTCAGACCTCAGCACCATTGTCTCTACTTTTAGACACGGCAGACATCGCATGCGCTACCCAGGAACCGGAGAATGATGCAAGGCTTTAAAGAAGTTTCTGTCAATGACAGAAATTCAGGTTAAACCTTACTTTACCTTCCACTAAGCCAGCAAGGCCACCAACCAGCTCCCAAATCATGACATGGAGAGTTATTATTAGTTATGAATGGTCAGCCTTGTCTTATGCTAGTTCCACTAGCTCTTATAATTTATTTTAACCTGTTTCTCTTCATCTCATTTTGCCTCTGGGCTTTTTAATCTTCCTTTCCCTCTGTACGTCCCACTCTGTGTCTGGCTGGCTGCCCTAGGGTATCTTCCTTTCTTTCCCCCTCTTTCTCTTCTCTCCTCTTCCCCCAAGCCTAGATTTTTCCTCCTATGTATTCTCTCTGCTCACCAGCCCCACCTATCCCTCTACTACCTAGCTTCTGGCCATTCCGCTTTTTATTAGACCAGTCAGGTGCCTTAGGCAGGCAAGGGGAAACAGCAACACATCTTTACATCATTAAACAAATGCAGCATAAACAAAAGCAACACGGCTTTACATAGTTAAAGTAATATCCCCCACATAAACAAATGTAAGACATCTTTGCCTAGTTAACGTAATACTCCACAACACGCATATTCCAGCATGTACCTAATATTTAAACACCGTATTAGTTCCTGATTTGACAGCCAGAAAATCAAATTCTTAAAGTCATTTGCTTCTTCTAAGCTAGTAAGAATATTTCTAAAACCTCATGACAATTTTTTTTTCTGAAACATCAAATAAAAAAAGGAAACAAACATAAGCCACAAGTCCCCATGTGACGTGGGACAAGGTGATACCGGGTTTAAACAAATTTAAACATTTTCATCAGGGTACAAAGTCCATTTCAACTTTCTGTTAATGTTACTACTTTCAGTTGGTTGTGTTTCTCCAATTGTCATCAGATTCTTGATTTTTTTTTTTACAAAAGATGAATTAATTTTGCAGTTGTTTTTAACAGAAACACCCTAAACCGTCTTTCTGAGCAGCGAGCAGTCGCGGGGTAAGTCCCCTACCTGTTCTCATCCAGCTGCACCAGGAACCGGACAATGTCCCGGTGCGCGCTCAGGACCAGCAGCTCCGTGTAGGGGTTCTGACTCTGATCCTCTCCTATTGTCTGCAAAGCAGCTTTCTTGTAATGAAAACAACAAAGCAAAAACAGAAAGATAAAATGATTTACAACCGCACAGTATCCACATAAGAACAGAAGATTTTTAAAGCCATGGGATATTACTTTCTAATACTAATATAGACTTCCTACAATATCAAGTGCCTAATTTGCCAGTTCTACATGTAACTATTTCTCTTACCAAAAATCTTAGTATTTTCAAGCCACAGTAAACTTGCAAACAGCAAATTTTATTTTGTTAAAGTCTCAATAAGCCTAATTTAAAAAAAATATTGGCCCAATTTAACTCAATTTTTTAAGGAGTGTTTCTCCATCAAAGTTTGTTGGCGACCAAGGCGAACCAAGGCTCAGCAGGTGAAGGTACCTGTCACTAAGCCAAAGACTTGAGTTCACTCCTGGGCCAGATGATGGAAAGAAAAAACAAGTTGTCCTCTGTGCCCCCCCCACAGACATACACACACACACACCCCATACGAAGGCACACAGACATACACACACACACGCATACACCCATACACACATGTACATACACACACAGACACCCCCCCACACACACACTCATACATACACACAAGCACACACACAGACATACACATACACAGGCACCCCCCCACATGCACATACACACACATACACCCATACACACATGTATATACACACACAGCCATACACACATGCACACACACAGACATACACATACACAGAACCCACACACCCACCCACACATACACACACAGCCACACACACATACATACACAGAACCCACACACCCACCCACACATACATACACACATGTACGTACACACGCACACACACACATGCATGCAACATGTTTGGTTAGAAAGAAAGCTACAGACTAAATGCACCAAACACGGACCGTAGCAGCTCACCAAAAGCACTCAGAAGATGTCTGCTTAATGAACAAAGACAGCAACGAAATAATTCAGACTCCCGAGTTCAACTCCAGGCAACTGTACTGATAAAGGTAGTTCCAACAGGCAGAGTTTTATCTGGAAGGCCAATAGCAGACTCTTCACTAAGGACACACACCGTGTAACTTAACTCTGCAGGGTAAATCTTACTGACCCCACTTCTGGAGTCAAACCCTACACAACTCCACCATAAAAAGCTTTGTTCTTAAGCAGGGTTTCTTAAGTCTGACACAAGCGACATTTAGGACTAGATAAGTCTTTGACACTGAGGCCTCTCCTGGTGTTAGGATACTTACCGGCAAGCCTCTTTTCCACACACTGCCCCCATCACACCTAACCATGGCCAACAGTAGACACTGTATTATCCTCGGGGACATTACCTCAGGATTGAGAAGAATCACTGAGATTGGAGGGCTGAAGTCATGTTCTTACACGTTAGGGAAAATCAGGGGTTCTGATAATATAATATTAAAGGCAGTTGCACAACCAAGGTACTTTTACATGGAAAAAAAAAAGTAAAAACCAGCATGCATTAAAGCTTTTGGAGAAAGTCCACCCTGAGGTGATGGTTTTGTTTTTATCCCGTCTCCCTCTAGCAGATGCTCAGTTATGGAAACTGCTTCCCACAAGTGGGAGTTTGCCAGGCATGGCAGAACTGATTAATTAAATACTATACTAACCAAACAAACACGTTAACTCAAATTGTCATATGTATGTTACATAGCCATTCAATAACCCACAACTCTTCCATAACCCGAAGGATTCCAGAATCGTATGAAATAAGTGGTTCGATTTTGTTTTAAATCGCGGTGTCAATGGCAAAGCTGAAAGAGTTAAAACTGCCAAGTTGTTCGATAATCCTAACTGTAAAAAACGCTTCCGATGAGAAAGAAAAGGCAACACAAATTGTTTCAGGAGGCACACGAAACAAATCTTAGACGCCAACTTGTTTAAGGTGGCAAAATCCTTTTACTATTTCAAGTATAAGTTAAGTGTGACAATGAGACCGTGCACATACTAAATAAACAGAAATCACTTTCTTGTTTGTTTCTCGAAAAGCAGCTAGTTCATTCCGCATTCCTTAAGCAAATGCTAGTCGATGTCGGCAAGAGGCCTCAGTTCAAACACGTTAAGGGAGGAAGTTGCCCCTGCTGGTTTGTAGTTAAGTCCCACTTTTCTAAACAGTTGGCCCTGGAGCAACCCTAAATTCCCCGCCTGGCCGCAGACCTGCTTCCGGCGGCCCCGGCACACTCGCTCCGCCCCGCCCCTCGCCCCGCCCCGCCCAAAGGCCTGGCCCCGCCCCGCAGCCTGTCTGGCCCGCGCGCACTACCTCGCCCAGGCCCTGCGGCTCGCGGCCTCCCCCGATCAGCCAGCGTAGCATCGGGCCGGGGCGTCCGCGGCCCACGCGGCGAGATCGACGCGACGCAGACGCCGGTGATGGCGCTCGGTGAGCCAGAGGCGAGGCAGCGGGAAGACAGAAGTCTAGTTCGGGAGCCGGCACGGAAAGCCGCGGCGGCGGAGGCGGAGGTTCCGCGGCCCCAGTGAGCACGCGCGTGGGTGCCGTGCGGTTGGCGCAAGAGCTCAGGTCGTTCGGGCGCCCCCTAGTGGACGTGCGCTGCGGCCACCACTCTGAAGGGCTGGCGCTCGACCAACATCCTGTGTGATGCCCTGTGGAATGCGTCCCAGGAAACCTCCCTGTTTCCCAAGAGCCAGATGGGGAAGGTGTGCCTGCAATGGACTTCTGCACCGGAACGGATCTAGTGGCGCTCTTATACACACACACACACACACACACACACCTAACATTGTGTGCTACTGTACAAGTATTGCGCCAGTGCTGTCTACAGAAATGCTCACATAAATAACACGTCTCTCTTTATAGATCAAGAAACTGAAGCGCTTTAAGATTAGGTAATTTGTCTAAAGATAAAAGCCAGTAAGTGGCCATGATGGAATTATGACCTAATCTGTAAATTTCAGAATCTTGTTCTTAACTGTTGCCTATGCTGTTTAAGACAGTCTTCCAGAACAGAAAGTAAAAGCCAAGCAATCCATATCCCTCCAAGCCGGCTTCCTCCCTCCCTGGCAACCGCTGCAGCTGCAGCTGGAACGCAGGCCTTTGCACATGCTGCAGCACACTAAACAGCACTTCTAGCCCCAAACATTCTATGTCAACCACTGAATTTTCCAGTTTTCTTAATAATCAGAGGACTGTGGCTATTCACCATGGCTTTGTATAAAAAATTACCTGGATAGCTTTTGAAAATGTAGGGTTCAGGCTTCCCGGCCAAACTTAGAAAAGTAATAATATCCGTAGTTGGAGCATAGAAGTCAAGGTTTGGGGACAGTCCATTGGGTGAGTGTCTGGAGTGCAAGGCTTGAGAATTACTGATCTAATCTTTGTTACATACAAATGTGTTGGTTAAAGTTCTCCCATGGATGTGTATTTGTTAGGTTTTCAAATGAAGCTCCTTGCAGTAAATTTCTGTGGGGAAATCTATGTAAATGTCCCTTCCAGTGCATTAATATATAGGATATAGTTGCACGAAGATGCAATAAAGAAACATAAAAAACTACTGCCTTTAGGGACAAAGCAGAAAGGCCTAGGCAAAATAAGACTGGGCTATATATTACACTTAAATGTATTAGACGGGAGCACCTGCTCAAGTTGCCGGGACCTAGGGGATTCTGGGAGCTACTGTGATTATTCTTAGTCATTCTAAGTGCACTCTGCAAAAAGAAGGGGAAAAATGCTCCCAAAGTCTGTTGCTTTTCACATCGCTGTGATCAAATATCTAACAGAGACAACGCTTGGGGGAGGGAGAAGCCATTTAGTTGGGAGGGCACGGAGGGTCCGTGGCAGTTTACACTGGGGCGGGCCAGGAAACAGCACTCAGCTGCCTCCCCTTTATCTCGGCCCACGAAATGGTGGCACCCAGGTTGAAGGCAGACTTTTCTCTGCAGTTAATTCTTTCTAGAAACATTCTCAAAGACGTGCCTAGATGTGTCCCTGTCTCTCTCATGCCATTTTAAATCCAGTCAAGATGGCAGTTAAGATTAACAATCACATAAGCATCAGGTAGAGGTTGTGTTCCGTTTGCTATCCAAACAACCCAGTGAAGTGGAGAGGACAGACAGAAGAGAGACTAGCTCCCGGAAGAAAAGTCTTGCCTTCAGTGAAAAGAAGCCCCAAAGTGTCTGAACTTCCGTTCTAGAAGGAGTACCTTCAAACGAGGCAGCATGGCTGTCCAGACAGCAGGAAATTTATCCTGCTGTTCCGCTTTCTTCCGGGCCCCGCCCACCTTCACAGTAGCGGAATCTAGGGAACGTCCCGACTGCCGTTGAGAGCACTGAGGAGGATGGACACTTTTTCCTTGGTGAAGAAAGGTGTCTGGGACTCAGCAGGGATTCACCCTCTACCTTGGGGACAATTGTGACAGCAGAGTCTGTCAGAAGACACTGCTAGAGACTCCAGAGACTGTTTAAAAGCTTTAGTCTTCTAGGAGAAAAGTGGCTGTTGTACAGACCTGCCATTACCCTTTCCATCCGCAGCAGGCAGGCTCTTTTCTCCACTTCCCATGGATCCCATGGCAGGTATTTAAGGACTGCGATGTCAAGGTAACCATGTATATGAGTGAATTTAGGAAAAAATTCTCCACATAGACCCAAGGACAGCACAGATTCAGAAAAGACCCAAGAAAGTCTTAAGCTTTTTCCTCGGGTTCATCCCCGGAGTGGAGACAAACTTCAGCAGTCGTTTTGTTTTGTTTTGTGTTTTGTTTTTTTAAAAGGCAAGTGCAGTGGCATGTATTGCAATCTCAGAAATTCCTCCAACTAGGCACTACTGCCTAAAGATTTCACTCTTGTCTTCCATCACCTTATCCAGAGATGCTAGACGTTCATTAATTTTGTCATTGAGCTGATTTTGGTTGGTTTTTTTTTTTTTGTCAATTTACCCAGAGCTCCTAGGAGCAGCCACTAGTATCGTTTGATAACTGTGAAAACTCTCAAAATTTTCTATAGAGTCACTAGACCCTTTCTTCTCATGATTGGTACATCAAGGCAGTCAGATGCGCCTGTCTCATGACAGGTTTGTGAGAGTTCACCCCATAGGTATGTAGGGCTCTCCAACCTCTAGAAGGAGCTTTAGTCATGGGAGAGGTGTTGACCAACTTTTTTGTCCCTCCAGCCAGCTTCCAAACAACCACACAAAGATTTTTTAATTCTATAAGCTTGGCCAATAGCTTAGGCTTGCTTCTAACTAACTCTTATAACTTAAACCTTTTCTATTAGTTTACTTTCTGCCTCGTGGCTTCATCCCATCACATGTGTCCTACTCATCCGACTGGTTTCTCTCTGTGTCTCCTGGTGACTCTACCTTTCTTCATCCCCACACTCTCTTCCTGTCCATAAGTCCCGCCTAATCTCTTTCTGCATAGCTATTGGTCATTTAGCTCTTTATTAAACCAATGAGAGCAACACATCTTCACCATTATCTCACGACAGAGAGGCTTCAGTAACTTACACTCCTGTTGCTCTAGAACCACTTCTGGTACCAAAATCTTATTAATCCTGGTTCACTACACAAACAGAACTGATAGAAAGAATATATGTGTCTATGAGATGTGATAGAGTGGCTTACAGGTTATGGTCAGGCTATTCCAACAATGGCTGTCTCCAGATGGAAAGCAAGCAGAGAACAAGGGCTTCCTTCTTCCATGTCTTTTATATAGGCTGCCACCAAAAGGTGTAGCCCAGATTTCAGGTGGCCCTTCCTACCTCAGAAGTTCCAGATTTAGGGTGGGTCTTCCCACTTCAAATGATTCAGTCGAGAAAAATCCTTCACAGGTGTGCCCAGTCACTTGGGTTTTAGTTAATTCCAGACATAGTCAACAACCAAGAATGGCCACCACAATGTTGCTGCAAGTATTGTCAAAGCTACTAGACAAACAGAAATCAAAAGAATTCAAAATGGAAAGGAGAGATACCATCGTTAGGATCGTGAAGCATATGAGCTTCACAGAAAATCTCAAAGAATCTGCAAGTACTAGAACTTAGGAGTTCAGCAAAGTTACAGAGCCCCAAATTAACACAAAAACAGCTGTGTTGTTATAAATTAGCAACAACAAACTCACAAGGAAATTAAGGAAGCAACTCTATTTATAATAGCACACTTCGGAATAATTACTTAAGCATCTATTTAACCCAGGATTTTAAAACCTGTACATCGAATACTACAAAACTTTGTTGAATAAATTTAAGAGACCTAACAAAGTGGAAAGTTGTCTCATGTTCACAAAATGATGCTAAACTATAGCAGTACTACCCAAAGCAATGAACAATTTAATACAAGTTCAATGTTTCACAAAAATGAAAATGATAATCCTCAATTTCATACACACAAATTACAGGAAGTCTTAAGTAGCCAAAGAAATATTGAAAAAAAAAGCCGTAAGACTTACACAATTAAAAAAACAATGGCAAATAACTTAAATAAACATTGTCTCAGTGTAGAAGCCCATGAAAATAAACCACACAGTAGTCATCAGAGAAGCCCAAATCAAAAAGCACAGTGGTAGGCCACTCTTCACACCTACCAGGGCACACTTTCCTAAAATCTTTTCAAAAATATCTGCAAGAACCATATGACTATCATATTCATATAATGAACTTCAAACTATATCCAGACTTCAACTTTAGATCCAAAGTTTAAGATGCATCATTAACATAAGTCTAAATCCAAAATCTACAAAGCTTCTGGAATAAAGCATGTTGACACATTTTGTGACTTTGTGTTGGATGAAGATTTCTTAAAGATGACCTCAACAGTACAATCCACAAAAGTAAAAAATGATAAATTATGCTCCCTAAAACTAGCATATCTGTACTTCCAAAGACACTGCTGGAATACAATAACAAGCCATAGACTATAGAAAATATTTGTAAGCCATATGAGTGGTAAGCAGCTTGAATCTAGAACACGTTTTTAAAAACTTAGTGAGGTGGCATTTCATTTGTATTTTAATAAATAAAGTTTGCTTGAAGATCAGATGAAAACAGCCCCACCTGTCAGCCTTGCAGCCAAGCAGTGGTAACACACACCTTTAATCCCAGTAGCTACACTAGTTGCCATAAAGATTGGGTGGTACATGCCTTTAATACCAGTGGTGCACGCCTTTAATTTTAGTCCTAGAGAGGATTATAGAAACAGGAAGAGACAGTTCTCAGTCACAGTCTCATTCTGAGGTTTCCTGGAGACAGGATCACCATTTTCAGACTGAGGACAAGGTAAGAGTCAGTGACTGGCTGCTTTGCTTTTCTGCTCTTCAGACTGAACCCCAATTTTGGTCTCTGAGTTTTTATTAATCGTGCTACAAGTCAGGATCCATTTCTGGGGTGGAATGAACTAAATACATGTTATAGTTTCTCTCCAGGTTAGACCAACTGTAAAGCATCACAGAATCCATGGTGTTGTCCCCCAAGGACCTGAAAACGGTGAGCTGGGGGAACCCTGGAGTTCACAACACTACCAAATCGACATTTCCTTTACTCCCGGAAGTTCCAAGCCGGAAAAGACTCAAACCTTGAAGTG